CAAGGTGTGTCTCTGAAGCCAATCTACATGTAATTATTTAAAGACCAAAATAAGCTGTTTTAAAATTCCAATGCTTTGAGCAGTTGCCAGGCAAGCGGTGAAGTATCCAGGAAGTTACTAGTTATGGCCGACACAACTTTCTGTACAATAGTGAAAGAACATTTTTTACACAATATTTGTACAGACTAAAACAGATACAAACTATTCCCCTTGTTTCCCGTCTCTTTGCTAAGCTAACCTAAAGAATGGATCTTCTCATCATATTCTTCATCAGAAAAGCATAACTTGGTGTTAGAAACATTCTACTTCATGAAAAGAAACCTTTCTTAAATATATAAAATCCGATGTGATCTCACCAAATTACGTAAACTGACCACAGCCTCTTAGCGCGTTTTTAGGTATTCTTGATCAGGGCAGTTTAATCTGACATTAAATCAGAGCTCTTTTATTAAAAATGTGCCAAAGAAAATATTAAAAACTCAAAAAGAGACATTTAAGCAGTGCATCCAGATGAGAAAAACAAGACAGAGAAGTTGTTTCTGTTTGATAAAACTCATCATCAACATGCTTCAGAAAGCTTTGAGACGCCAATTTTGTATCAGAGCGTGTTCAGATAGAGACCAATAAGAACATGAAGGTATGTTTCTTCATTACGGAAATGTTAATTTGACTTGTTTTTGCCTAATTAACGGCAATTACTTCCAAGAACAAAACAGCCTCACAAATAGTAATTAGGAATTCAATATTCATGTTGGTGGAGATGGTTGTGAGGTCTGTAATTAATGAGCTTTTAATTGTTTGATCGTCTCCTTAATTAAAGGCTTGCTATAATTTGAAGGTTTGTTTACTTTTCACAAAACAAAAAGAATAAGAAAGACAGAAATCTTATTGATATTCTCTTTTAAATAGAATTTACCCATGGAATGAAAAAATAAGACTTTTAAAAGTGAAGCAAACATTTCCGATAGAGGAAGAACATCTCCTTGCATTTCACTGCGCGAACTGGAAATAAATAAATCTCAAAGCTACTTTTGAAGAACGCTGTAGGGTTTCACCTTCAGATCTCAACTGGCGTTGCTGTCCCCCATCTGCCGTTAGAACGCTTCAACCTTTGTGAAATCTCTTTTTGTGAAACTTCAAAGCGTGGTTTGATGACATCTTCGACGGGCGGAATGAAAGCAGTACAATCAACTGTCACACATGCATTTGGCAGACTGCAGAACTGATGTGGAAAAAAAGCTTCACGTTCATATTTGATAAGAATCTTAAATCAATAAACAGAACTTCTAACCACATGGAACTCAATCAATTCCTAATGGAGTAAAGTCGTACAACAAGACAAACAAAGAAACACGATGAAATCGTACATCATATTTTAATTGGCTCCTGATTGCCAAAGAAAATCAAAAACTGAAGCGTAATTTCCCCAGGATTTTACAACAATTTCCAAAATGAAAACTATACATTTTGCATTAAAAGCAACCTTGACACCTTTCGCCCGCCACCTTGACCTTGTGTCTCCTCCTGAGAGATGGCGAGACAGCCACCTACCGTCTTCGCACACTGCTGGAGGGACGCCTCCATCGACCGTTGACTGCCCTGAGCTGGCCAGAGGGGGTCTAGTGGCCCACCCAGGAGAGAGAGACCAGGAGGACATTGGGTTCTGCAAAAGGCGTAAAAAAACAAGCTACACATGACATAAAGAAGAAGGTGCAACATGTTATTTATTTGGAGTCCTGTTTGTCCAATATTCAGTCTCTTTTAGCTCTGGTTTTAGTCTCTACCGACTCCCTTGGGAAGATTTTAGCCATTTAGCTAAATGCTAAATGTTTACCATCTTATTATACCAGCTAAAGAGAGTCAGGACCCACAGGTGGATCGCAGGTGCGCTAAACAATCATTTTGCATACAACCATTCACTTTCTGACGGAAAAACTTTTTGATTAATTTGTTCCGAAAGAAAATCTCACACTAAAATCACTCAGAATAGTCAGCATCTCCTGAAGGGTCACTGGGTGAATCTGAAGCGATGATAAGCGGGTTCGGAAAGTTGTGCAAAAAATTGAGGTTGTTCCAAATAAAAGAGAACGTGTCTCATATTCTCTGCTTATTCAACTACATATAACACAATGCCTGATAAGACAAAGACAAAATGATTCCTCCCTAAAGAGTCACAAGTATTGCTTTGTGGGTCAAAAAGTCCAAAATGTTGGAAACAAACGGTATAAATCACAGTATACTGAACTAATATAAAATACAAAACTTCTCTGGGTTGATTACATCTTGGAAGACTTTGAATAAATGCTCATTCTGACTCTTCAGTCGCACGTAGAGGCTTGTGTGTAGATGTTCTTCACCCACAAAATTCAATAAGCCAAATTAGGACCAATGCAAAACTTTACAAGTTTGATATAATAGTAACACTCAAACTGAGTGAAAACATTGCATCGTATTGAGTGGTTTTCTTCATGTAAACCCAGTTGTGACTCAAATGTTTACTAGCTGTCCTTTTTGCTACCCAGGAATGTGATGTGAGAGGCCAGCGAGCCACTCTGAAAGAGAGAACGATTCAAATGGAGAAGAGAGAAGAAGCAAGCAGAAACCTGAGAGACGAGACAGTGAGCGAGAAAAGAGTGTGAGAGGAGGCAGAGATTTAAAAAAAAAAAAAAAAGACGCAAACAGAGGAATAAAAGGAAAGCGAGGAGCTTATATGCGGTGAAAAGAGCACATTAGGGACGGCCTGCTGCGACAGTAGTTTGGGGAACGGTGAATAACTGCCTCCACTTAGACCAGTGTCCTGGTTGTGTGGCGCCGGGGGCCTCCGACCGACTCACACTCACAAAAAAACAACAACAGAAAAGCAAAAGAAATGAATTCAAGGCCATATATTCCTGCACAAACCGATACCTGGCACACACAAAATGCTCTCACACCTCCTCTGGGAGCTCCACTCTGTCCCTCTCATTCACACATTTCTCCACATTGGCCGGATTAGGAACACTTTCTCTTGGGTGTGCGAAGCTGCCCCGCAGACAAAGAAACACTTGGGGACAGGATTAGTAGGCTTACAGCGGATTCACATATGTCCAGTTCAAGCAATTGGTATTCAAAGCTTTACACTTTCAAATGCCACCAGGAGAGAGCAAAGCCGACCAACGCTTTTCTTTGCATTGGCAGCACCTTTATGAGAAGGGCTCTTTTGCTGGGCCAACAATGGGGCCGTGAATACACATTTTTACTGTTCTACCAGGGCGATCTCATCGGCGACGGATAGAGCGGCGAGCGGAGTTTGAGACAGACTTTATTATCTGAGTTTGAAGTGCTGTGTGTGTGTGTGTGTGTGTGTGTGTGTGTGTGTGTGTGTGTGTGTGTGTGTGTGTGTGTGTGTGTGTATGTGTGTGTGTGTGTTCAGGCGGATGGACGTAAGGACAGATGGGTGGATGGAGGGATGCCCGAGGTGCTGGTCAGAGGAAGAGTGCTTCAGTTACTTCCCACATGTTATTGTTCGGCAGCCTGTTCCTCCACTCCACCTCCACAAAAAAGATCTGGAGGAGACTCTTCAGAGTGGAGAAAGCGCTCTCAGCAGCTCAACACACACAATACGGACACAATTTAATGTATTTTCACAATTTAAGGCCACAAAAAACGTCTGTGAGTTGCTGTTCGCATGACGAATCAATAAAATATGTTTTATGGTAGATAAATGTTTTTAATTGGTTTATTACATTGGGAAAATACAGTATGCCTTATCTATCTGTTTTTTAATTTTGTTTATCGGTTTGTATTGACCCCAAATTTGTGAGTCGTGTTTTTTCAATATCTTTCATCTATAATTTCAAATACTTAGTTAATTTAATATAAATATATATATATATAGTGTAAAGGAAATGTTAATAATGAGGACAGAAGTGAATGAAGGAAAGGTTCTTCTCGAAGACATCCAAGCGATGAGAAGTTGCATGAGGCCCGCATGCTGCCATACGGACAGCAGAGGGCCGAGCGTCGGAGCGGCCACGTCCCCGCTGTCCAGCGTAGGCCGTGCGCCCCTGTGGCCGCAGGAGAGGCTGAATAGGACAGCAATTTCCCCTTCCCATTCCTCCTCCCCATTCCTCCCGATTCCACCCAATTCCCTCAGGCAGCGAGCGGCCGATCCGAGATTTTGGCTTAAGATCCGTCTTGATAAGGGCTCAAAATGAATGTATGATGTTTTAAGATATCCCAGTGCATCCTCCTTCCTCCCGATGGACCATTTTATTTGTTTATGGGTTATTTAATAAAACGCGTACTAATATGTATGTTTTTATTGTGTGCGTAAAATTCAAATTGCGCAGCTGAAAAAAACAGCCGGTTTGACAACACTAACTTATTTCACTTGTTAAATACAAAGTGTGAACTACGACATGTTTGACACAATAATTGGTATAGAAGTTCTCAAACTGACCAGTTTGTCCCAGGAAGAACCTTCTCATCCACGGGAGGAGAGGAGAAGAGAAAGAGAAGAAGGGGAGAAAGAAAAGAACAAGAAGAAGAAGAGGCGCACTGTGGCCCCCCAACGGTGTCCCGACAATGACAGTGAATGGTTGCGCACCGCGGTCACTGGGACAGTCAAAGCACACCGCCCCCTTTCCGACCGGCACGTCATCCTCCGTACGAGGCGTCGTGAATAGGAAAGCCGCTTTTGTTTACCCGCGTGTATAAATAGCCTCTAGCGGTGTCCTCCCGGCCGCAAAGACGCAGAGACGCGCAGAGAAGACACGGAGAGGGAGACGCAAAGTGGACACCGACGGGATAGGAGGGACAAAAGGGATACGGGAAACATCAGGGGTCCACTGTGAGTAAAACGAGTGAGGGAGAGGGAGGGAGAGAGAGAGAGAAAGGGGGAGGGAGAGAGAGAGTGCGCGCGAGCGAAAGTGAGATAGAGAGAGAGAGAGAGAGAGAGAGAGGGGGGGAGTGGCGGGGGGGGGGGGGGGGGGTGGGGGGGGGGGGAGGAAGCCAGCAGCAACCTCGGAAGCAAACCCATAAAATGAATTCAGACTCGAGCGCAAGCAGCAGAGCCTCTTCGCCGGACATGGACGTCATGTCTCTGAGAGACCACCACCCACACCACCATCATCACCACGTCGGCTCTTCCGTGTCCTCGTCCACGCAAAGCGCCGAGTTGCGCCAGAAGCTGAGCGCCAGCGAGCTCCTGAGGTCCGGAGACCCCAAGTCAGTAGAGAGCAGCAGCAGCAGCAGTAGCAGCAGCAGCAGCAGCAGCAGCAGCAAGTTCAAACTCAAGAAGCAAGTCACCGAGGAGGAAATGTACCACCTCCGTCTCAAGATTAACGGCCGGGAGCGGAAGCGCATGCACGACCTCAACCTCGCCATGGACGGGCTGCGCGAGGTGATGCCCTACGCGCACGGGCCGTCGGTGCGGAAGTTGTCCAAGATCGCCACGCTGCTCCTCGCCAGGAACTACATCCTGATGCTCAACAGCTCCCTGGACGAGATGAAGCGGCTGGTGGGGGACATTTACGGAGGGCACAACTCGGCTTTCCACTGCGGCCCCGTGGGGCACGCCGCCGGCGCAGGTGGACACTCCGGGGGCCCCGCCGCAGCCGCGGCCGCCGCCGCCGCAGCCGCCGCCGCAGCCGCAGCCGCCGCGCACCAGGTGCACCCTCTCCTCGGGAGCGCGCTGACGACCTCCACGTCCTCCACGCTTTCGAGCGCGCTGCCGGGTCTCACGTCCATCCGAGCCCCCCACCCACTGATGAAGGGCTCTCCGGCTGCGCCCCCGACTCTGCAGCTGGGCCCCGGTTTCCAGCATTGGGCCGGACTGCCGTGTCCCTGCGCCATCTGCAGGTGCCGCCTCCTCCACACATCCCAATCAGCACCGCCGGCCTCACGAGACTCACAGTCGAGGAGAAGGAGCTGATGAAATGAGACGCGCGCGGACTGGACGGTGTTTGTAGATAGAGAAATCAGGGCATGAGGGTGGCTTTGGCATTACTTGTGCATGTTGTTGTGTAGTCTGTTTTCTTGTCGGGCGTATGAAAAGAAGAAGAAGAAGAAGAAAAAAATACGCGTTATTTTTCTCCTTGTAACAAGGAATTGATGAGTTTTCCACTTGACGGTGAAAAGTTGTGGGTGACGCAAGACAAAGACTTGAGTTTCGGTTTAACGCCACAGCGTGAAAGGGAAGGAGGCTGCATGGAAATGTTGATTTCATTTGACTTTTTTTTTTTTTTTGTATCAGGCGTTATTTTGTGAAAACGAAGAATGCTCTCTGTGCCTTGTACCAAGGATGTTAAACAAGGATGTTAAAGTTGTAGATGAAACATAATGACATTCATGTGTTTGGCTAAAACTACAAATGCGAAAATTTGTTTTAAAATTGTTTAGATTCCTTTTTACTTTTTACTTTGTGACTCACTGTATCTACATTTTTTTCTCTCTTTTTTTTGCATGATGGTGTAATAATCACAGCATGATTGTTTTTGCTGAACTGAATTTGTTATGCCCAGAGACCCCGTGTCTTTATTTTTGTACATTGTTGATTGATGAAATATTTATTATCATCCAGCGTCCCTGGATGAAATTTCAATAAAACTGAAATTATGGATCATATCTCACTGTTTTCTCCTCTTATTTTATATGTCACTCTTAAACACTCACTAACAATATTTATAATAGAATATTTACATTTCCTGGAGTTATGCATTGGTTAATTTCACTTCTTCGTTTACTTTCTCTTTAATAGGCAAACATATAACAACTTGGTTTATTTTCAAAAGCAAACGTTTCACCTCAAAATTAGATTCCTTTATTTCAGCCAAAACTTTTTAAATCCTCTCGCATTTTACTGTTGCACAAACAATTGAAAATATATCATTTTTTGGTGTGATATTTAAAACCGCATCAAGGCCTCAGTTAAACCAAGCAACATTGCGTAAAGTCACACACTCTTCATTTCTAATGACCGTTACCTGGAATAAAAGAAGATAATCCAGAATATAGTAGAATTTTACAACAAGTCAGCGAATTTGTTAATTATTGACAAAATATTTAAGCGACAGTTGGAAACTGACCCGGGTTTATTTTTCATTTGAATTATTATATGCTAAATATAATTTATCTTGGGTCTAAATGGGAATAACTTTAGCATAAGCATAACTTTGAGACGTGTGTCTCTCTATTATAATTCATATTTGGGAAACAATGGAAGCTTGTTGATTCCCCGCCACACGAAGCCCCTTCAAAATAACTTAGAATTAAATATTGCGTCAACTTCTCATTTCATCTCACGTTGCCCCCAAAACACCCGCCGACGAATATACACGCGCGCACACACACGCGCGCGCACACGGCCGGGCCGCATTTATTTAGCATTTCCGAGCAGCCGCCACGACTGTTCCAGCGAGGGGACACAAGGAGGAAACGAGGGGCCTCGGCTGCCTCCTTAAGGAGCCCTGGCTGAATAGTGAGGAGGCAGAAAAGCGCGGAGCAGTTTGTCCTCCGGGTCCCTCGGGTGTCTCTGCGTCTCATCTCTGCAGCGACAGAGTGTGTGTTTGTGGAGATTACACGGTAATTGTTCATGGGGGACCAAGAGGAGAAAATCACATCACAGAAAGGCATCGGGATTACAGGCTACTAAATGCAGGAAAGATTATACATTCACCCCCCCCCCCCCCCCCCCCCCCCGGGCCCGCCGCCTTCTGTTTTTTTTTTCTGGGGCCATGCAAAAAGAGGTGGGGGTTTATAAAAAACAACAAACAAAAAAAAAAAGAAAAAGGGAAAAGGGGAGAAGAAAGCCCCCCTTGTTCCTCTCTTTTTGGGGGGAGGAAAACCAAATTTTGTTTAAAAAAAAGAAAAAAATTTTTGGGTGTCTTTTTTGTCTTGAGGAATGAGTGCGGCCTGTCTGTCCCTCGCCAGATGGGGTGTAAATAACTGGGGAGCTGCAATGGCCTTTTAACCACACAACACTGAGGAGGATGTTGTCAAGGGAAGCTGGCGGTTTGCGAGTTAATAGTCATGAGTTGGGGTAATTACTTAAGGTTTATTATGCTCCCATTTCAAAGGAAATGGACTCTTCAATGGGCCGAGAAATGCTTCTTAATTCTGGCTAATTAGGAGCTGAGCAAAGCAGAGACAACTGCTGCTGCCATAAAGCACAGTTACGTTCATGTAGGGGATCATTAAGTAAACCACAACGTAACGCACAAAACACTCATGCACGTGCAAATAACGAGCACGAGACAAATGCAAAGCATCGCAGTGGAATGTTAAAGAGACAAATGTTAATCCCTGAATTTTGTAGATCTTGCAGTTTGGTCGATGTCCAGATGGTAACATGAGTATTTATTGCTTTACTGATTTGGTCTCTGAAATTTAAGATTTTTCTACTGTAAATAAGTTTAAAGCCCATGAGTAGATTAACAAGTATCAAACTCTGGCAAACAATGATTCAATTGTGGCCACTGTGTTTATTATAATGACAGGGATTATCTTCCAGGCAGGGTTCACAAAATTTATACTCATTAGTCCCTTTTTTGCTTTCACCTAATCCTACTGAGATTTAGATTACTCTTTTTCAAACGGGATGCCAGACAGCAACAGAAAGTTCATCATAATGATGCAACTTAGCAAATGTAACCAAGTACAACACAGCCTCTATTTCCTTTTTTATATATTTTGTGGAAAATAGTTTCACAGGTGTTGAGAAACCCTTTTTGTACCGGTGGCAGAAGGATGTTTTCCACGTGTATGGAACTTTTAGATTGGTCTCTTTCTCTTTCTTTCCACTTATTTTGTATCAAAAAGATGGATCACAATTGAATACATTAATAAATAAGTCAAAATAAATTAGTTGAGTTAACTTTATTGCCTTTGCAACACCTGCCTGGTTGAGTTCATTGAACAAAAAGACAGCAAACTGACCACCAGGCACAAACTAAAATGCATGGCTTGAAAAGGGTTTGCAATTAAGTAAAATATGCAAAACACCAAATAAATGTAAAAAGACAACCAACTAAAAAAAAGAAAAGTTTCAGTGTTAACCGGAATGTGCTTTTTTAAAAAACGTTGAAAAAATAAAGTGTCTCCATTTATAAATACTGACCAACACACTTAATTGTGGACATCAGATCCTCTTTTCAAGAGGCTCCACAGACGACTGGTCCTTTTTCACTGAGCACACCTGTTACTGGGAACCACTCGAGGATCATCACATCATGCTTTCTGCATCCTCTGCGCGCACACACACACACACACACACACACACACACACACACACACACACACACAGCTTTGGACACAGATGCTAACAAGGCATTAACATGCTGCCATCTTCTCTCTGTGTCCGTGTGACCTGAGAAGTTAAGTTAATTAAAACACACTGTCGCGTTTTCCAGGCTCCCTCACATGATAAAAATCTGTCAGCGTGTAAGACTTCCAGTTAGATATGCACGACCGGTCGGGGCCTTTAATGCTTTTATGACGAGTTTGTATAAACATCTCATTTGGCGGCTGTGGCTGCATTCCATCTGAAGAGTCCCGCCTGAAGTGTGTATAGCGGTGAGCTGCGGGTTTGTTTGTTCGCCCGGTCAATGTGCTTCAGCCGGAACCCGAGGGCAGCAATTGAAAGTCCATTTGAGTCGAATAAGGGGCAGCGGCCGCATCAGACCGAGCTGCTGCTAGAACAAAAGCAGTTGAGGGGATAAGTTATTGACCGGGCTGACAGCCTGAACGGGGCTGATTAGGACTGCCTGGCCGTGCTCTGTGTGTGTGTGTGTGTGTGTGATGCACGGTCAGTGAAGCAGGTGCAGAGGCCATTCCCCAGCTCTCCATCCCTCCCTCTCTCTCTCTCTCTCTCTCTCTTCTTACCCTAAGGGAAGCCTCGGGGCCCTCTGCCCTCCTGTCCTCAGCTGATTCCGCAGAATGATGTTTAACCATGCTGCCAAAACAGAAAGCATATTTCCATCATAAGAGCGCTTTGCCACCGCCATTAGCGACCGGGCTCATTTGCATGTTAATTGTGCATTTAGAGAGGTGCCGTTGACACTTCTCTTTGTCCACGCCGGGTCGCGGGAAGTGAGAGGATGGGCCTGCAGAACGACTTCCATGTGCGTTATTGTTTGAGGCTGGTTGTATCATCTGTCATGATGGGAACAATGGAAACCAAATTAAGTTGATTTAATAAGGTGTTATTCTTCTTAGATAAAGCTGACCATCTGTTAAAGTTTTATATAAAGCATTTAGTTATTACAGACTTAAAAAATCAAGCGCATTTACCCAACATACTCTGCATACTGTACTTATATTACCTAATTATATACTAATTGTAAGTCCAATTCTGAGGCAATTTACACGAATATTTTATTTTTTAAGTCAGAGGGCACTTTTTTATTCTGATTAGTTATATTGCACCACTGCCTCACAGTTTATAAAAACACATTGAAACTACCTCATCAATCAACTGCGCTGCGTTTAAATTCTGCTGACACGTTGCATCAACAATAACTCTATTAATAATCATACACTTAAATATGAATGGAACAGTTTAGAGATTTTTTATTTATTACACTTTACATAAAAATGACAAACATTTACATATTATACCAATTTGTGGGTATTTGGTGTTTTTAAAATTGTATTCAATTGTAAATTGTATTGTTTCGTCAAACAAACTGGAACAGCTCACATGGATCAGTTAAATGTCATTTTTGCTTTTTGTAACAATTGTATAACTCCTTACACTACTGGCAGTGTCAATGAGTTGCATGTGTGAACATCCTGTTTCTATGAATTAATTATAATGAAAACTTCTACTTTTATAAGTAATATAATTAGCTGTTAATATCTTTGAACGGAGGACTTTTACTTAAAGTCACTTTTACTGATAAAACATCTGCGTTGTCCTTCCTCGTGAGCACGATCACCGTTCAATGGTATTAATTATTCGCCTGCAAAAGGAAGAAAATACAACACGCAGACAACCTTCCTGACAAAACAGACCTGCTGTGTTTTCACGGCAAGCAAAATCTGCACGAGGAGACAAAGTGCGCACGCACGTACACAAACTCGCACTTTAATTTGTCAACACACACACAAGATAGTTTTGGTGTGAAATTTGTTGCAATAAACACAGATTCAGCCAGAGAGAAAGTGCCTGCACGTGTGTGTCTGTGTGTGTCTGTGTCTGTGTGTGTGTGTGTGCGAGCAGTAACATCCTCCCACAGTGACTGACAGATGGCGTTCAGGGTTTGGCCGTAAACGTGCTCTCTGAGTGTTTGTCCGTGTGCCAGTCGCCTGTAGTTTGGTGGCTCCCCGTGAGAGCCTAACTGTCCCGACACTGCTCGAAACCAACTGTCCTTGATTGTCGACCACGGAAGAAGAACCGCAAGCGCGTGTGGCCGCGTGTACACACGTGTGTGTGTGTGTGTGTGTGTGTTTGCGGTGACCATGGGAGCAGATGTTCACGCGAGAGACGAGTCTCTCAGCAGGATGACGCGGGAAAAAAACTGAGCGGGAGAACTTTTTGGGGGGGGAAACAGGGAGGAAAAGTGTGTGTGTGTGTGTGTGTGTGTGTGTGTGTGTGTGTGTGTGTGTGTGTGTGTGTGTGTGTGTGT